TATATATGCCATAATTCACATGCTATCAAATTCTGCCAGTTGAGTGTACACTTAGTGAACAACTCTATAGTTTTGAGAATATTCAGAGAGTTACATGATCATGAGTATAATTTATTTTAGAAAAATAATTTTTTGAGACACGGTTTCACTATGTAGCCCTGGCTAGTCAGGAACTTACTATGTAGACCAGGCTGGCCTCAAACTCATAGAGATCTGCTTACCTCTGCCTCCCAAGTGCTAGGATTAAAGGCCTGTGCCCCTATACCCCCCCAAAAGTTTTATCAGCCCTTTCAACCCTCAGAAGGAATATTTCTGTCTGTGGCCATTTCATATTTTCTCCTCGTCCTCGTCTTTCTCTTCCTCCTCCACCATTGAACTTTTCCATGGATTTGCCTGTTGTGAGCATTTTATATAAATAAATCACATAATATTTGGGATTTAAAAAATATTTTATTTATTATTTTTATTTTATGTGTATGAGTGTATTGCCTGCATGTATATGAGTGCACCCATGTCGTGCAATGCCACGGAGGTCAGAAGAGGGCTTTGCATTCCCCTGGAACTGGAGTTAAGGATGGTTTGTAGTTGCCATGTGGGTGCTGGGAATCGAACAAGGGTCCTCTGCAAGAGTAGTCAAGTGCTCTTAACAGCTGAGCCATCTCTCCAGTCCTGGGATTTTCTTATTGGCTTCTTCCATTCTGGATAATGTTTTCAAAATTTACCCGTAGTGAATCATTGCTTTGTTTCTTTGTATTGCAAATAATATTCCGATGTTGGCATTTAATCATAATTAACATTACAATATATAAGTATGCAGGTAAGTCTCTCAAGACAGGTTTCCTAATGTAGAATAAGTAGAGTAGATTAAAAAGAGCAGATCTACCTGGACATGGTGGTTCATGCCGTTAATCCCAGCACTCAAGAGGCACAGGCAGGTGGATCTCTGTGAGTTCAAGACCAGCCTGGTCTATATAGTGAGTTCCAGGACATCTGGGGCTACAGGAAGACCCTGTCTCAAAAAGATCAAAAAAAAAAAAGAGAGCAGATCTTTTGTTTGTTTTTTACATTTCAGTTTTAACTATATACTGAAGATTACACATATTACTGTACGTACCTGAAAAAGGAAATGCATATTAAATATCCTTTCCCTCACTGCCTCACTGTGCTCTCACCCCCACCCCTTGGACCTGTTTCTTTACTTTCTATCCCCAGACACAGCCATCATTTTGAGAGAAATCTTTCTGTTTATTTTTAGAAAGTATCTCCTTCCCCATATATATATATATATATATATATGTGTGTGTGTGTGTGTGTGTGTGTGAAAATGCACATTTTATAAAGGTTTAGGATTACATGTTGTTTGGAGGTTAATAACAGCTCCATGTGATGGCTGAAACACAAATCCCTACATGTATTATTAAACAGAACAAAAACTAATTATATCACTCAATACTTTCCATCAATATTCAAATGATATAAATAAACCATGATGCAACAGGAGTTCTGTAACCCAATAAGTGAGTCTAACAGCTGTCCTAATAACTCATACCATGCCCTCAGGATAATACTGTATTGTATTTCAGGTGACTTTTTTAATTTCAAGGAGGGTACATGGAATTAATTTCAAGATTCAATGTGGGACCACAACACTCAGTTTGATTGCAGATTTGATCATTAACTCATCTCAAACTCCCCAAATATCACATAAGTACAGTATAATTGGAGTTAACAATTCAAGCAGCTATTTAAAAGAGTGGAGATTTGTATTGGTCCAATCCAAATATCCACTGGGAACCCTGCTTTGGTATGGCAGCATGAGAAAAGAGGCCTCTGGTTGCTGGGTTTGGAGGAAATCCTCCTCACTGAGCAGCAGGTAGATGACTGGGTTTGGAGGAACTCCTCCTCACCAACCAGCAGTTGGATGACTCCTCAGGTTCAACATACTTCCTGACTGCCCCACAAGAGCTATGTGGCCACTGTTTGTCACTTGAATCTCCTGGATTAATTTTTTCTTTCAACATTTTTTCTCTTTTCACAAAATACCTGGTGGCAGCCCATTTCATATATTCATGCAGTTGAGTAAAAATTCTCACATTGCATGCCTTTCTTTCAAGTCTGAAGACTAAACTGTGATCCCAGGGCAAAGATTGTGTGGTTGTATTTTGAGATTGTGTGGTTATCTTTTGGGATCGTCAACCTACCTGACCTGCAAATATTTTGAACTACCTTATTAAACATTACAGAAAGGACTGTAATGCAAAAATCTCATGCCAAAATTACTTCTTTTAAAAAACTATTTATTTATTTTATGTGTATGAATGTTCCCCTTGTGCACTACATGCCTGCCTGGTACCCACAGAGAGCAGAAGAGGGCGTTGGATTCCCTGAAACTGGAGTTAAAGATGGTTGTGTGCTGACTTGTGGGTGACTGGGAACTGAACCTGGCTCCTTATCAAAAGCAGCAAGTGTTCTTAACCCCTAAGCCATCTCTCCAGCCCCCCAAATTATTTCTTAGTTTCAGATTTTTCACTCATTCTATTTAGAAATTTATATTACCATCTTTGACCATCCTACCAACTAAACTATACATTCTAAAATACCATATTGCTATTCTTGAAAAGGAGACAGCAGGAGCTGGAGAGTTGGCTCAATGGTTAAGAGCACTGGCTGCTCTTGTAGAGGACCTGGGTTCAATTCCCCAGACCCCACATAGCAGCTAACAACTGCCTATAACTCCAGTTCCAGAATCCAACACCCTCATCTCACCTCCCTGGGAATTTCACAACATGGGGTGCACTTACATACGTGCACGCGATATACTCATACACATAAAATAAAAATAATAAATAAAATATGATTTAAAAGTAAAAAAAGGAAAAGAGAAAGAAATCCTCCCATTTTTCAATTCACATTAGTATGTAGTAATGAATATCAGAAAGATCCTGGTTACAGGATTTATCCAAAGGGCAGTGCCTCTCTCCATCTCTCCTGGGGAGGGACACTGCCAGTGGAGTTGGGCCCTTTGCCAAAATTGTCAAGCCAGGGATGAACAGAAACTCTGCACTGGTGTTGTGCAGAGTTTAGAGACGGTGAGGAAAACCAAGATGTGCAGGTCTCACTACTTTGGATTTATCTTGGGGTGCTTGATGATTGCAACTAGCAATGACACCTTTCCTACACCTGTAATCATAAAGAAAATATCCCTTAAATTTCGGCACAGAGCATGCTGAATCCACCCCGTCCCCCTCACTGGATGGAGCCCAGTGTCTTGATGCATCCTAGACAAGCACTTCCACCCTTCATTCTGAATTTGGTGTTTTGGTTAAATTTCTCTCCCTGTTCGATTTTTCTGACTCCTCCTGGAGAGGATGCATTATCATTTCCATTCTTTAGATGGGTTTTAAGAGTGCAGGAAATTTCACCAAAGATTACCCAGCAGCTGGGGTTGGGGAGAGCCTTTGAAGCCAGGCAGCCTCTTCCTGCCAGGGTCTAGCCCAGAGGTGGGTAAATACCTCAGAAAGCAATGAAGATGGGCAAGGACTGGGTATCATTTCACATCAGGCTTCTTGCCCGGCAGCCAAGGAACCTCGGGCATTTGGAGAGCAGTGCCAGCCTCCCTAAAGACAGAAGGCCCTCCCACCGGAACCAGATGATCCACGCTGAGGTTCAGGCCGCAAGATGCACGTGCAGCAGGGCCCAGGTCCTGACCTATTTCCACCCTGAAAGATGGAAGAGCTGTGGCCCAGCTGCCACGCCCTCCCTCCAGCACTGTGTGGCGACTTCACTAGCTGGGCAGCTCGTTGCATGCACCTGCTTGGAGGGCTGGTCTATTTCAGCGGCCAAGTGTGCTTCTGTAGGTGCACGGTGTAAGGACCTAGTTTTCCTGTAACACCCCCAGGGTCCAGAGTGGGAGAACCCGGGCAGGAACCAGGGTGCCTGGTGCAGGTCCGGTAGGGCTCTGATTGACAGTCGGGCTCTGGAGCAGCGAACCCGGGGCGGGTTTCCTCTGCACGCGCGTCCCCTCGGGGAGCAGGGCGCAGCAGTGGCCACACGCAGGGCCGCATCGCCCTGGCCTGCTCCGATCGTCGTCCTCCCGGGAGGACCCAGGGGCTGAGGCTCCCGCCCCGGCCCTCCGCAGTCCACGCCCCTCCCGGGCCCAGCGCCGGGTCCCGCCCGCCGCCCGGGGCAGGTGGAGCGGAGGAGGCCGGCGAGTAGGTGCGCGGGGATGATCTCACTGGCGAGCTCCGCGCCAGGAGGAGGAGGAGGAGAGGAGGAGGAGGAGGAGGAGGAGGAGGAGCGGGAGCGCTTCCAACTTCCGGGTAGTGCCGCCGCACGCCGCGCCACCGGCATCTTGCTTTTTCCTCCCCCTCCCTCGTGTCCCCCTCGCCTCTCCCTCCTTGCCTTTTATTCCCAGCCCCACCCGCCAAAATGAACAGCTCGGACGAGGAGAAACAGCTGCAACTCATCACCAGCTTGAAGGAGCAAGGTAGGCGGGCGGGCGGGCGCCAGGTGTGGGAGCCGCGGCCCCGGGCTGGGACAGCTCAGGACGGCAGGTGCAAGCCGGGGGTCCCGGAGTCCTGCAGCCGACCGGGTCACCCCGGAGCTCGGCCACCGTGGATAAGCGCGCCCGGTGCCCCGCGCGCCCTGTAGAGCCCCGGGCGGCGGACGAGGTGCGAGTGTCCTCCCGCAGCGGGAGTAGCGCGACCTCCAGGACTGGAAATCCCGGGTCCGCGGGAAAGGGACACGCGCGGGGCACGGAGGAGGTCGCAGGGCACGCTCCCCCGGTCCACGCGGGAGAAGCGAGTGGGGCCGGCTCGCGGGGCTCAGGGTGGTCGCTCTGCCTGCCTGGCTCCTGACAGAGGCCCCACCCTTGCACACTTAGGCGTTCCTGGGCCTGCTGCGTTCCCAGCTTTTCTTTGGGTCTCGGTCTAGTTCCTCTTTCCTCACCCAGCTGGGATTTTTTGGGTCACCGATGTGTTTTCTATCACTTCCCATTTTTAGCAATTTATTAGTCAGTGAATGGACACCCTGTCTACGTGGGGCTTCCCGAGCCAGCAGGGCTGGAGCTTGGTACAGGAAAGCCAGGCCGTGTTGCATGCATTTCTCTGCTGCATGGTGACTGATGGTTTTTATCAGTTCTCCACCCTGGTGAACAAAGTCAGATCATAGAGCCAGTTAATCTGACACACTTTAAAAAATCACTATTAATTACTCTGCTCAAAGGGTCGTTGGAGAATATAGGTCAGAAAAAGAGGCATCATACAGATTTGCAAAGTAAAGTGTGTAGGGACACGGGCTTTGCTGAGTGACTTGCTGACAAAGTCCACACTGTGGAAGGAGCCCTGCTCAATGGCTAAAGGGGCCCAGTGCTTTCACTTCTCTTTGCCCAAGCCCTGTGAACTTGGAGTTTCTTCCTTTCCTTTGGGGCTTGTGGTTATTCAAGTCCTCCCCCTGACTAAAGAAAGTCATCTGGGGCTAAGTCCGATGCCTTCAGAGGTCCTGTCCAGGACTGTGACTTGCTCCTGGAATTCGCCACCAGGTCCATATCATGGTAGAAAGATCTTCACAGTGCTATACTGTGTGACCTTAGGCAAGTGACTTCACCTTCCTGAAACAGACACAATACATTTCGTCTTGGTATCTAGCATCTAGAAAATGCTGGATGATCCATCTCCTGTGACAGACTATCTGGAATCTTTCATGTTTTAGTTAGAACTGGATTGTGCTAGCACTTTAAAAATACTTTCTCGCTTCTCATAGCACCAGGACTCTTGATCCACATTTTAGACTTAAGGAACTTTCAATGTTAGTTGATATCAGATCGAGTGATGAATGGGCAATTTGCAAATGATTATAAAATAAAATATATTATTTCCTTTAATCCTATAATTCCAAGATTAGACTGTAGACAATGTAGATACCTACAAACACATCCTTTCTGTTGGATTAAGGGTTGAAGCAGATTTCTAAGTTTCTGACTCCTGTTGTGTTGTATTGGAAAACAAATTCATGGCCTTGGTTTTTCTAAAGGGTATATTTTCCTGATTAATGACGTCAGAAGAAATAGGGCTGTTGGATTCGTATTTCTTTAGAGTACGCTTTTTTGGATATTGAATCTGGTTACCCAGGTGTTAGCAGTTGTTGGGCCTATGGTGTGATTTTTATACATCTTAAAACCAGGGTGTGTTTGTCAGACATAGACTGTGGTCATGAATTTAATTGCGCTTTGACCTGTGGAATTAACTGGGAAGCTAGGAATTTGAGATGCAAACATACAAGCAGGTCTTTCAATACTTAACAGTGTTATGACCAGCTTTTTATGTTGATGGTAGATACTATCATTACCATAGTGAGTCATAATGTCACTTACCCGCTTAATATGAACAACCATTTTTGAATACTCTTGTTTCCTTTTTTAATGCTGAGTAATCGTACATATTTATTCCTTTAACAACTACCAAATACTTATCATATATGTGGCCTAAGTGCTAGGCAGTGCTAGTGTAGAGGGTGAACCAGGCCATCCTTTGCACTCAGGAATTTTTTTTTTTGTCTAGTAAATAGTCATTAATCAACGCAGCATGCAAATAAGTGGATTGTTATAATTTTTGAGGATAAATTCTTAGAAATGGAATTATTGGATTAGATGGCACACATATAATAAAGTTATGTAAGTCAGTGCAAACCCTCCCTTCCCCCACAGCTATACCAACTCACATTTCCCCAGCAGTGCCCATATTCCGACATACTGGTTAACACTGGGTGACAGCAATCTTTATCAACTGAACAGCCTGACAAGTCTCTGAATTTTTGTCAGGCTAATGGGCAAAATGACATCTTTTAAAAATGTGTATTGCCATGGTTATTAGTGAGGTTGGACTCTACACATTATTGGCTATTTAGGTCACCTCAAATGGTTCCTCCTTAATGAGTTTTAAGTTTAAAACTTGAACCCATTTCCCAGGAGGGTGTTCAGAAGAGAAGCTGCGTCTGCTGTGTGCTGCAAAGCTGACAGCGGCCTTCTCTAATGCCTTTGGTGGTGTGGTGAATAAGGTTGCCTTTGACAAAAGTTGTGAAATGTAATGACGGAGTCTGTCATAATATGAACAATCTCTAATTTATACTTACCATTCCCAACCTCTTTTTCTTATAAATCACACCCACTTCTGAATTACTTCAAAACATTGTATGTTCCCATCTACTGAATGGTATAATTAGCTATATTATGTCTTTCTAGAAAGTTATATTATGTCCCTTTAAAAAAATTAGCCAGTGTGTGATTGCTAATGTTCATGCAGATGCTGAGGTAATGAAGTAATTCTCCTTTTGTTTTTTGGGGGGGCTTTATTTTATTGGACTGATTGACATCTTTAGTGTACAGAGAAATGGCAACTTTGGATGTTATTTCCAATGCATATTCCCTAGTTCTCAAAGTGGACATTTCCCTTACAAAACATCATGCAATTGTCTGTCCTTACAGAACTCTGTTGGAAAATGATAGACTTAGTTCAGCATTTGCTGAAGGTGCATGGTTTTCTGGGTAATCTGTTCAATGTGCATGCACTGAATATTCATAGCCAGGCACTGTGCTAGGCATCAGAGACTGATGAATAAGACTTGGTCCCTGCTGGTGAGTTCTGAGTCTGGAGATGGTGCAAAATCCAGGAAGAGTGTCTGATTGGCTTAGATGGGATCATGGATTCCAATCCTTTGGTCAGGGAGCATCTTGAATGGCATCTTTCACAAAAACCCATGGGTTACAGTTTATGTACAAATGGGCCACCATCATTGAAGGGAGAGGGCAGCCTGGCCCTACCTAAACAGCAGGTGCTCATCAGGCTGGTTACACAGCACTGCTATACCATTTGGAATTTGATGATGTTTGGAAGAGAGTGATTGCCATTTAACAGTAGGATGTTCTTTTTTCTTCTTCCTTCCTTCCCTCTTTTTCTCCCTTCTTCTCATAGATAGGATGGAATCCAGACCATCATAACATGCTGGATAGCTCTTCTACCATGAGCTACACCTTCATTCTAATAAGTATATTCTCATGTAAGATCAAACAATAACAACAATGAAAACCCCAAACCATGGCTGTTCTTGGGCAAATAACTATATAAAACAAATTTCCTATGGAAAAATGATTTCCTTTTTTGAGACAAGGTTTCATATAGTTGATTTCAACTGATCCTCCTGCTTCTACCTCTAAACAGGCATACATCACCATACTCAGTGATGATTGGTTTTAAAGCATGCTAACCTTTCGCTTTTTGGGGTTAGTATTGTTTTTCTTGAAGTCACGGAGCTGACTCTCAAAGTTCGGATGAAAATTGAATGAAGCTGATTCCTAGAGCTAAGCTAGTTATTCATGGGTGCTTTTCCCAGGGTTCCTTTGGCTTCTGGGACAGAAAGTAATGGGTACATTACTTTGACAAAAAGGGTGCCCAGGCTGTTGCATACCACAATGACCGTATTAGTATAGGAAGCTGGTACAACACAAATGGGGGATCCCCTTGAAGTCCCAGTAGAAAGCATTTTGGAATGCCGTGGATATTTTGGCTTCAATGAAAAACTTGAATTTTCATCAGTGTTTCTCAAAGTGAGGTTCAGGGGCCACCTGCCTCTGAGTCACCAGGTAGTTATTGGAATTGTAGTTTCTTCTCAAAAGTGGATATGTTATTCTGAGGAGATAACCACTTGGCAGCCCTCCAGGAGAGGGACCCTCACATGGGCTAGAGCTGTGCATGCTGCTCAGAGTTCCAGTGTTCACTAACACTGCTCCTAGGGAGGTGAATCTTCCTTTCATTTAAAAATAGTAAATTATAAAATTAAAGTGCCTTCGTTCATGTGACTCATTGTTTCTCAATATTTATTTTACTGTCATTCTCCTAAAGAGATTTTAAAGATATTTTACATACTGTGATCTTCAGACGTCCAGAAAGAAATACCATAGTAATAGCCAAACTTTGCTTTTTTTTGGTTGCTATTAATAGACTTTGGTAATGGACTAGCATTAAAAGCCTCTATATGAACTTGTATTAACTTAGTGTAGACATAGATAGCTTACTTTTCTTTTGCTGTGATAATCACCATGACCAAGGCAACTTATAGAAGGAAGAGTTTATTTGACTTAACAGTTCCAGAAGAGTAAGACATGGCGGCAGGAGGCAGTCGGAGCAGAAAGCTGAGTGCTTACATCTTCAAGCAGGCATAGGAAACAGAGAAACTGGAAATCCAGTAAAGCTTAAGAACTCTCAAAGCCAGTCCTCAGTGCTCCCTCCGGCATGGCCACACCTCCTAAAGGTTCCCTGACCCTCCCCAAATAGTGTCGCCACCTGGGGACCAAATGTCCAAATACTTGGAGCCTTGGAGACATTCACTCATTCCACCACAGTTACATATAGAAATACTTATATGTTTAAGATTAGTATAAACATACCGTTTACATATATATTT